TGAGATTAATGTTAGCAAAAGGATAGGGCTTTTTAACCTTATCCACTCTGGGAGACCAAATTCAAATCAGATTTGAATCTGGTAACCTCCTGATAAGAACAGGAGTAAGATAACTTAATCTGCTGATAGGATTAAGATCATCCCCTATCCAAATACTGATTTGGATTGGGATAACTCCTAATTAGGAGGTTTCTTAATCAAGAAGAAAAGAGGATAAACCCTAAGAGAAAAACATTAGTTTTCGAACAAGGGGTTTTTTGAGAAAGCAAGAAAGCATCCTGCGAAGTGAGATTAGATCTCAATTCACACTCCAGAGAGAAGAGAGGTAATTCAGCCATCTTCGTCCCAGGAGTTCTCCTCCAGCTGCCGCCACTCTTTCTGACAAGATTCGAATCTTTAAAGAATAAAGAAGTCAAGAAATCAATTCTTGACATCAATCTTGTAGAAAAGACTAAAAAAGATTCGGTGTTCAGAGTTTCCAGAGGATTCTTGCAAAAGGATCCAGTGTGTAGGACGCACTCTACTGGTTCTGTTCCACAAACAGCTGTGTCATCTTCAGCAGGAGCGGATCTTGGTGTCTTCTTTGGGCGTGAACACCAACTTTGGGAGATATTGTTTCTCTGGATCAGGTATAACTCCTCCCTTTTCTTTTTGGTTCAGATCTGGTTCGATTATGGTTCAWGTAGGATYMTTRAATATTGYATTCTAAATTTAGGGAATATGATTCCCAGTTGGAAGAAGGTAGGAAAATTTTTGAAATCCGCTCACCCATTCCACAATCTTTTTGGCGTCCATTAGATAGATCCTACCATTCTTTCAACTGGCATGATTCTATGCATCAACCATTCTTCTCTTTTTTTTTATTACCAAACGTTACTAACCTTACTTCCTACTCTTTTTCATTTCTTATCTCCATTCTCTCTAACAGATGAGTCAAACTTCTCACTGACCCTGACATTTAGATCATCAACCGTGTACAATCCAGGACAATAGGGCGTTTTTCTACTTAAAATTTTAAGTATCAGATATAGATGTGGCCCCATTTGAGGTGCACAGGCAACATAGTTCATCAAAGAAAAATGACATCCATAGTCAGCAATGCATTACAACCCAATGATGGCTAGGCAAAAATCCCTAGGTAATCTAAAAAGGCATGATCACCTTGTTTTCTAGTCAAGGCAACTGCCAACAACCTAGGCAATCACATATTATAACATGAACAACACTAGTGCATATTTGGCATATGCATGCAGCTTCTTAATGTTAATCACTTGTGGTTTTCAGATTTCTCGGTTCTATGTGCTGCTTCTGTGGGCTACTTCTCTTAATAATTTTTTGTACAATACTTGTTTAACTGTATCATTTTGCATGCTAGCTGACTTCGTAGCATTGCTATTGCATCAATTTGGCGTTCATAATACTATTTAGTAGCAGTTCGCTGTATGGCAGTTGTTCCTTTACTTGTTTAAGCTAATTCTTTCTCGTTATCTGAAAACTTGCTACATAACTTGCAGGAGAATGCAGGAAAGGGGAGAACTCAATTTCTTTATACGTGTATTTTGTAGTTAAGGCGCCGTGAAATATTTTAGCTAATTTTCAGCCCTTTTGCATCGAACTAATAATGGCCCAGATGGAAGATAAAATGCGTTGATAAGCAACAAATAAATGGTAACGAAGTAGAGGAATAAAGAAAAAGGAGAACAAGAATGAAAGCAAGGAAATTGACGCATACCGTGAGGGGCAAGAAATCCTTAACATTGTCTCCCTTGGATGAGGCAACGGTGGAAAGGACCTTGGTTTTGTCCATTGCCATGACAACAGCACCATTAGCGAATCGAGCAATCTTCCCAGTTTCGAAAGTAATTAAGTGCGAACCGATCTCAAACTCCTCTTTAAACGTTTCTAGTAATTTCGTGCCGGCAGAGGGGGTTTCTGCGTCGGTAGGAGACGAAGAGAGGAATCCAAGACGGCCACTACAGATGCTACGGAACCCAAACCTTCTCCAAGTGAGATAGGCTGGTATGGATGTGAGGAGAGGGTTGCTCCTGCTTGCTAGAGTTGCCATGAAAACAGCTCTGAACTTGAGAAAACAGAAAGGAGTGAGAGAGGGGACTGGTGCAAGGAGGTCGCAGACGATTCGAGGGTTTAGGGTTTAAGGGTTTTTACCGATTTAGCGCGAATTAAAGGAGCGCGTTGAAAAAAATGAAAAAATTGCGATACAAAACTGTCAAGTGTGTTAATAACGCAGCGGCTTCTGGCGTTGGTAAAGCCTCCCAAGGAAAGCTGTGAAGCCGTATTTGGTGAAAATTTCGGAGAGCTATACTAAGCTTACATGAGCCGAGAAATCGACTTTGCAGTGAGCTGGTGAAGCTATTTTTGGCGCCCGTTTGAAAATAGCTTTAGTGGGGTTTCGATACGAGGTAACGCCAAAGGTCACTCCGCATCTGCTACGCACTGGTTGTTCCACATCCCTACCCATAGTAGCACCACCATCATGTATTGAGAATATCCCCATAAATGAATAAATGATAAGGGGAAATATTCTTAATACACAGCTGTGATGTATCATTAGTAGAGATATGAGAACAGGTGGTGGGTAAATGTTCCCAATACATGATTAGGATATATTGTGGGGTGCCCTCTATAGATGTGGGGTTTGTTGTCTTTTCGTGTTGTCTTTCAGTTATTTATAAGTTGGAAAGATTGATTTTCGATAAGGAAGATCTAACCGTTAAAAGACGGAATGCCGAAAAGACACGAAAAGCCCATTTTGAGCTGTTTTCAAGAAGCTTCAATTCAAATGAAGCTTCTCGCGCTTTTTGTGTTTTATTCTCATGCGAAAAAACATGGAAATATGTACA